AAACAAACCCAGTAATGAGTACCTTTCACGTCTTTTATTAACGAGTTAGGTGAAGGGTTGAAGTGTCTAGTGAATTTCCCTTTAGCCTTGATCATGTCCCTAACCTTTCCTTAAGCATTCATTTCGTGACTTTAAACCCAAAATCATTCATTTCGTGCCTTTAAACCCAAAATCATTCATTTCGTGTTCTTAAAATCATTTATTTTGTGTCCATTTTATAAAAAACGTCCAAGTCAGATTATTTTGGTCCATAATCCTGGTCCAATTATTGTATAGTTGGATGGGGTTGAAAAGAGCTTTCCAACTATATATTATAATCCCAAATCCGACTTATAAAGAATAAGTTATGGCCAAAATACTACACCGAGCCCGAACCAAGCCTTGCCTGCGACCCAATGATCATGTGGAGGGTCCATTTACCTTAATTCCATTCCTAAAACCATTAGGATTTATTGTAAGTTTCTAGACTCCTCTAGAAGGTTCTAATGTATCCTGTTTTTGAAAAGATAAAGATTTAAGAATTTTATATAGGATAAAACATTTGTTTTTCAATGATCCTAACCCCGGTCGAATAGAATATGTACGGATATTTGGTTAACCCAATTCGATTGGGAATCAAAATCCATATGCATTCTATTTTTTTCAAAACCATCATTAGGCGACAGCACCATCGGGCCACGATGGACCTGTCGCGCCGCGATGAGATCTGTTTTACTTTGATATGAATTCTGACTCTTTTATGATCATTCCGACTCTCTTTTTTCCCAATAAATAAAGGTCATTTGACCCCGTTTTCATTCACCAACAATCATCATCAATACCCTCTCTAATATTGTCTTTCTATCTCTTCTTCATGTTCTTAGCCTAGCCTAAACACATCCCTACACACATCCTTCATACTCCTCTCAATCCAATCAAACACCATACTTCCTTCACGAGATTCGAATACTCCTTTCCCTTCTCGACGTTTCCTTCTACCTCGACGTGAAAGGTTGATGGTTCTGAGGGTTTGGTCCCAAATCTCTATTTTAATTATTATTTGATTTGTTTTCTTTGTTAATTTAATTTTTCTTGAAGTTATTGATGTGTTTATTGTTTTGATAGCAAGAAGGGAGGAACATCAAAGTGAGTGGATCTACTATCCTTATTCCTCGATTTTGATATAGGAATCTTGTTTAGGATATTATTATAATTCCTAGTATCATGTTAGGATGCCTTTATGATTTCTAGTATCATGTTAGGATGCGTTTATGATTCCTAGTATCATGTTAGGATATTTTTATAATTCCTAGTATCATGTTTAAGATAATGCTTTGATTATGATTTTATTAGTGACATGCTAAGATTTGTTATTAATCTGTTTAGTATCATTCCTAGGATCTTGCTAATGATGTTTTGAGAATTATTATGATGATGATGATTTTTGTGTCAATTAATTATATGTTGCTTGATTATTCATGATTGATTGTTATTGTTTGATCACGCCCCTTCTTGCAGTTTAAAAGGAATTTGTACTTGAAATCACGCCTAATAAGATAATTAATAAGTTGATTTTAGGTTAATATGATTTTAATTCAAGTGATTACCAATATTAGATTTGATTGTGCATTAATAATCAACTAAGATAGATTAAACAGGTTTAGGGCTAACTTGATGTATGTATGTTGATCGGAAAGCGCACATGAATATCATAAGAATTAAGTAAAGGCCTACTCAGGGCGGGTTCAATCTCTTTTAGGTTTGATTCGTACCATCAACCTCAAATATCCAGTCATGTTTCCGGACCACTATGGAGTTAGCGATCTCCATGATCGTGAATGGAGTGTAACCTTCGCACCCGTGAATGGTTTACAAGGTCCTAAAACTTGTTGGCGACTCTTTTATCACTAGATTCCTTCCCTTTGGGCGCCACCATGCCTAAAAGCATGAACACATAGGGGCTCAAAAGGTTGAGTTTGAAAAATTCCCTACACCTGTCCATCGTGCCAACCATTCTAAGGTAAGGATTTCGGGCGATGCATCCGGACTTTTAACCATGGACCCTCTTAGACAGCAAAATCCTTGACCTTAGAGAACTATAGCCATGGTTAGGTGGCAAACTCATTGCATCTTGTTGTGACTACTTGACTACTTGTGCATATCTTATTTGTGCATAGCTTGTTTGTGATTAAACTAACCTTTATTCTTGTACATATGCCTATACATACTAACCTCTGTCATAATTTGATTCTTGTACAATGACCTGTATATACTAACCCAAAGGACTTTGCTTAACTAATTTGGTTACTTAAAATGAACCCATAAAGTATGAATATGCTCGAACCTAGAAGACTTTAGGCCTGAACATTCGAAGGAACGACTGAAAACAAGTCATTGTGATGCTCCAGTTTTGGTGCATCACATTTAACTTGTGGCGCGTGACGTTTGGAACCATCGCGACACGTCAGGCTTGACGCGCCGCGATGGAACCAACGCCATGCGACCGTTCCAATGCCATGCGTTGGCTCAGTTTGTTTCTTTCCAAGTCTTTGCTTCGAGTCTCACTATCACGATTAACCAGTTTAATGTCAATATACGGTCTTTCCCTGGTCTTGTATAAGTCTTCCCACATGTCTAGTCACATGGTCATGACACGAGTCTTGTAAATATCACTTCCACTCATGAGTCTTTGCACACACTTTGTACATACTTTCTTCACACCATGACCATGTCTTAGGTCCATACATGAGTCACCCTTTCCGTCATTCGAGTTGAGGGTCCATTCTATTCCCGGAAATTTCCATATACCTTCCTACATACTTTCCCTTTACATTACTTTCCATACATTACATACTTCACATACACTTTCCTTCTTATACATTTTCCACATTCACATTCTTTCCACTCATGCTTTCCCCATACATATCACTCCCCCCATACACTATGATCTTTCTCCATCTATGCATGTTGAATCAAGTTCAAGTCATGTGATTGATAAGAAATGTCCAGGTTTCTTTTTCTACAACCTCTGCTCAAGAAAAGCACAAAGAACGAGGTAGGTTCCAATGATAAAGATTTCATGATTCTTTTCTTATTCTTGTTTTCTCTTTCCCTTAGTAAGTCTAGCATAGGCACCCTCTATGTTTTTTCTTAGATTTACATATGATCATTGCATTGCATTAAAAAAAAAATCCACACCGAGCTAAACACAAGGTATACCAATGATTTGAGGCACCCTTTCTAGCCACATCATATCACGTATACCCTTTTCGAATATACAATCCTTTCTTGATAAACCACTTTAATTAAGGCCTCATCTAATGATTGACCTTTCTTTCTTCAACCCACATCTGCCTAACCTTGGGATGGGATGTGTGCAACTTATGCAATTTTTAAAGCAAAATCTTGAGTGATTTTAACCAAAGTCCAAAAATTTTAAAAGTTCAAAAAGCAATAAAAGTGTGCAAAAGGGCAAGTATTCCAATGTCTTTGATATGAACACGTCTCAAATTGCGTCTCTTATCGAGTGCTCGGTATCGTGCCTGAGAAACAGGAATTCCAAGTGAATGATAGACCGCATGATCGCGATTGCCCACACTTATCCTAAGAAGATTCAAAATTAAATCTCAAATGCAAAAACAAAGAAAAGTTCAAAAGTGAGAAATCTCAAGCATACAAATACCAAGATTCAAATGCATGGTTGCACATCTTGGGGGCTTATATTGGGTCTTGAGCCTTTATCCCTTCTTCTTCAACTTTAGCTTAACCCCGTTACAACCCTTGAAAGACCTCCTTAATGTGTACACACACTTGTGCGAGGTTCGACTAGAGCTACGTTCAACCTGATTCCTAACGGATACGTAGGTGTAGACACCTGATTGTGTCTTCCCAAAAACCAAACCCAGTGATCAGTACCTTTCACGTCTTTGATTGATGAGTTCGGTAAGAGTTGAAGAGTCTCGTGAAGTTTCCTTAAGTCTAGACCATATTTCTACCCTTACTTAAAATGTTTAAATCCAAAATCATTTATTTTGTGTCCTAAAACCCAAAATCATTTATTTCGTGTCCTTAAAATCATTCATTTCATAACCAAATCACAAAAACTTCCAAACCAGATTATTTTGGTCCATATCCTGGTCCAAATATTGTTTAGTTGGATAGGGATTGAAAAGAGCTTTCCAAGGATATATTATAAGCCCAAATCCGACTTAAAACGAACAAGTTATGGAAAAATACTAAACCGAGCCTAGGGTTACCTTACCTACGACCCTATGATCATGTGATGATCTAAATACCTTATTCCCAGTCCTAAACCCATTAAGATTCTTTAGGAGCTTCTAGAATTTTCTGGAAGGTTCTAATTTATCCTTTCTAAAAAGATAAAGATCAAAAAAGAGTTCGAAACCGAATAAAACTTCACATTTGATAGTCCTTATCCGATCCAAATTAGAAGACGTCCGAATAAATTTGGTTATCTAATTCTATTAGAAATCAAACTCCGTACAACTTAAGCATCTTAGAAACCATCGCAAAGCGACAGAACCAACGCGCCGCACAACTCAAGTACCACTTTACGGTAAAGTAAGACTATCATGCTGAACTACTAGTCTTTGTACAACTACTCAAGAAAAATAAATACAAAAGTATAGAAACTTAAATACATGGCCTCTATGGCTCAAACAATATCGTAGTTTCTAGTTAAAATACATAGCCCCTAATTCATAGAATAAATCAATATATTGATTACATGATAGGACTAATTCTCCTTCAATATAACTCCTAATTCACCTCTTTGTCATACCACCTGTAGGTTCCCTATTGGCATTATCATTCACTTGCCAATTGCTTAAATTAGTCATGTAACCTAACAATTGAGAGTTTGACTAGAGGTAACTGATTATGCAGCCATGAGAAAGAGAGATAAACAGAGTATAACTAAGTTTTCAGACTGAAGTGAAAGTTAAACTAATCAAACACATAAAATCTCAAAAATCAAGCAAAATCTAGAAAAAATGGGTAAATTGCAGAAAATTAGCCAATTAATCATCTTTATCTCACAAAATTAAAGCCTGGAAAATGTGACAACTGATGCAATTATCACAAATTTCTTACAAAAGTAACAAATAATCAAGAAAATGAAAAATAAAAATCCAATTATATAATTAGAGCTTAATATTAGTAAAAAAAAAAGCAAAACTTGCCACTTTGCCAGGAGTGGTGGTTTGGGCAGTAGCAGGAATAACACGCAGCAGTAGTTTGTATATGAAACATCATGTCTCCAATTATAACTGGCATTGCTTTGAATTTCTGGATCTCTTTCGCTTGCAATTATTTGGATTCTCGACAAGCTTATCAGGAGAAAATAATTAAATTAAAATTTGTCAGAATAGTTAACAAAAGATCAAATTACAAGGCAAAACAAATCAGCTGAAAAACATAAAACTAAAATCCCAAACTCATCTAATTACTTCAACGAACTCAGATGCATGCAAAATTTAGTATGAAATTAGCGAAATTAAATATGTTAATAGGCGAATTCAACATCAAATTAAGAAATCATCAACAAGATAAGAGAGAAGGAATTAAAACCCTAATTTTAGCTACTCAAAATGTTTATAATGGAAGGGAGAGGAAACAGAACTAACCCCAACCCTAACTTTAAGGTGAAAGCTGCCGAGAGAGGATGGAGGCAAGGAGGTGGCAACCGCTGTCTTTGGGGGTGGCAATCGTTGTCCCTTTAACTTGGAGCACGGGGCCGTTGGGTACGTACAAGTTAGAGCACGAGTTGCGATGGAGGGAGGCTGCAATGGACGGGGGCTACAGTGGAGCAGCGGGAGAAAGATGGGGGCAACGGTGGAAGCCGAGGAAATCTTGGGGGAGGAAGAAAGTTAGGAGACAACCAACAGTGAGGTTATGAGGGTTCGATCTTTTGACAAGACGAAGAGTGTATTTTTTTTTCCTATAAAAAAATATTGGTAAAAAAATATTTGATTAAAAAGAAAAAATTGATCATATCAAATTAATTGTTACAACCAAGTGCTACCTAATATCAAAGTGTTACAATAAAGTGTTACATAATATTAAAGTGCTACTAAAAATGTTACCTAATACCACAATGTTACAAAAGTGTTACCTAAAACTCAAACAATCATGAAATTTTTAAAGTGTTACCAAAGGGTGTTACTTAAGCCCAATTTTGTACTAGTGTCCGTTCCAAGATCTGATCTTTTCTGATCGCTCCGACTCTCTTTTTTCTTTTCAAATAGAGGTTGTTTTCCCGTTTTCAAATCACCTAGAACCATCAATCATAAGCTATAACCACCTAGCTCCAAACATCAACAATCATCACATTCATCATAATCATCAATTCTCTTTCTTAATCCCCATTTTCTTAGCCTTAGCCTAAACACATCCTTGATATTCTCCCAAATCAGTCACAATACCTTATTCACGAGATTTGAATACTCTAAGTCATCCTCGACGTTGCATTCGACCTCGGCGTGAAAGGTTGATAGTTATGAGGGTTTGGTCCCAAATCTATATTTCAATTCATATTTAGTTTATTTACTTTATTGATTTAACTTTCTTGAAGTTAATTAACGTGTGTATTATTTTAACAGCAAGAAGGTTGAGGGATCAAAGTGAGTAGTTTAATCACCCTTATTATTATTCTTTGATTTTGGAGTAGAAACCATGTTTACAATATTATCTTAATTCCTAAAAATCATGTTTAGGATGTGTAGGGAATTTTTCAAACTCAACCTTTTGAGCCCCACTGTGAGCATGTTTTTAAATATGATGGCGTCCAAAGGGAAGGATGTGGTCGGGTCTAAATCTACCACAAGTGTACGGGTCAATTACTGTATATATAGGATGAGCAAGACATCGTATTCACAAGGAGGTCTACTCAATTACCAACTTAAGAAACTAAAAAAATTTATCTATACGATGGAAAATAATAAAAAAAAGTCCTACTAAACTATAATAAACGATTAAAGTTGCAAACTAAGAAAAACGACAGACAAGTATAAGAAATAGTTCTAGGTTTCGGGTTTCACCAATTACTCTACTCTATAATGAAATTAAATTAATTGTAGGGTTGAACATATATAATATAGCAATCATCGAATTACCAATAGTATGTAATCTCCTCTCCCAAAGTAGAAAATGTATATTTAAATCAATATTATGTCTACTCTCGTGATCACAACAATTGAAATAAACTCATTAAGAACAAGAATTCAATAAGACCACCCCAAGTGTATAACTATTCCTAAAATTACACTACTTGATGTTTGATAATCCCGTGAACTAGTATTGAAAGTCCACTCCCGCTAATAAATTAATACCTTAAGCATACAATCAATTGGCCAGATTAATCATATGAAATAAAACAAGATTATAAAATTGCAATCTTATAAATCAAATCCAAACAATAATTCAATACATTGATAAATAATAATAGACTACATCCCTAACCTAGAACAAGAAAATTTAGCTAGACATAAAAACAGAGAAGATGCCCAATTCGTTTAACAATGAAAAATTAATACTCCACATAATAATTAATCAATGTCTAGCAAATTGACAGAAATTAACAAGTTGAGAGAAGGAAAACTCTTAATCGGTTATTTTCGGCTACTTCGTCTCCTCTGTGTCCTGCGTGCTTCCTTGCTTTGACTCACGTTCTCCGCCACTTGAAAGTATTTGCTGCCTAATTATAACTTCCACCTAATTAAATATACAATGAGCCCATGTTATATACTTGTATGATAAAAGGGAGTGAAAAATATATATACATATTATAATGAAATTTTGTAATATAATAGAATTATGATGTATAAATACTAGACTTTGCAAATTAGCCCATTCAAATTATATATTTTCTTGATTATGCGTATAAACCTGTATAAAAAGATATTAAATTGTACCCAATTTAGTTCTAAAAAGAGATATTAAGTACATAAAATAGTGACTTATCAGGAAGCTAGAGATAAAAGAGTCGCCAACAAATTTGAGGAACCTGTAAACCGTTCACGGGTGTGAAGGTTACACCCCATTCACACAATCACGGAGATCGCTAACTCCATAGTGGTTTGAAACCATGACTGAATATTCGGGGATGATGGTACGAATCAAAACTAAAAGAGATTGAACCCGCCTCAAATCGGCCTCTACTTAATTCTTATGATATTCATGTGCGCTTTTCGATTAACATACATAGACAAAATTAATGCTAAGTATATTTAATCTACGTTGGTTGATTATTAATGCACAATCAAATCTATTATTGGCGATCACTTAAATTACAATCATATTAACCTAAATTCAAATTATTAATTATCTTATTAGACTTGATTTCAAGTACAAATTCCCTTTAATCCTACAGAAAGAGGCGTGATCAAGCAATAATGATAAATCATGAATAATCAAGCAATGTATAATTGACACAACAATCATCATCAAAACATTATTAAAACATGATTAGCAAGATCCTATACATGATACTAAACGGATTAGTAACAAACCCTAGCATGTCACTAATAAAAATCATAATCAAGGCATTAGCCTAAACATGATACTAAGAACATGATATCACGAATATTAGTAAACACCCTAAACATGATACTAGGAATCAAAATCAACAACTTAACATGATACTAGAAATCAAAATAATATTTTAAGCATGATTTCTATCAAAAGAACAATTAAGTAATCGAATTACTTACTTTGCTGCCTCGTATCTCTTTCTATCAAAACAATACACACGTTAGTAAACTTCAAGAAAGATTAAATCAAATAAAACAAATAACAATTGAAATATAGATTTGGGACCAAACCCTCAGAAGTTCGAACTATCAACCTTTCACGTTGAGGTCGAAGGCAACTTCGAGGTTGGCTAGGAGTATTCGAAGCTCGTGAGGGAGGTATGGTGTTTTCTTGGGAAAAGTATCAAGGATGTGTATTTGGACATGTCTAGGCTAAGTCTAAGAAAAGAATCAGGAGAGAAAGAGAAAGTATTAGAGAAGGGATTAGATGATGATTGTTGGTATTAATCAAGCTTGTTGATGATTGAAAATGGGGTGAAACGACCTTTATTTATAGGAAAAAAAAGAGTCGAAGGATTGGAAAAGAGTCAGAATTCGACTCGGAGTAAAACGCTTCTCATCGCGACATGACAGCTTTGTCGCGGCGCAACAGGTCCATCACGGCGCGATAACCTTGTCGCAGCGCGATAGTGCTGTCGCTCAGCGATGGTTTTGGAAAGATAGGATTCGTAATGAATCCGATTTCCAATCGAATTAGGTCAATCAAATTTCGTACGTATTCTAATTTGAACGGGATTAGGATCATTGAAAAACAGATTGTTTATCCGATGTAAAATTTTTAAATCTTTATCTTTTCGAAAACAGGATAAATTAGAACCTTCTAGAGCATTCTAGAATTTCATAATAAATCCTAATGGATTTAGATGGAAAACAACCTTCTAAAAGACTCTAGAAGCTTGTAATAAATTCTAATTGGTTTAGGAATGAGGCTAAGGTTAATGGACCCTCCACAAGATCATTGGGTCGCAGGTAAGGCTTTGTACGTACGGGCTCGATTTAGTATTTTGGCCATAACTTCTTCGTTATAAGTCAGATTTGGGCTTATAATGTATCGTTGGAAATCTCTTTTCAAGCCCCATCCAACTACATAATAATTGGACCATAATCATGGACCAAAATAGACTGGTTTGGACGTTTTATAAAGAGGACACGGAATGAATGATTTTGGTTTAAAACATTTAAGGAAAGGTTAGAAATGGTCATGGCTAAAGGGAATTAACGAGAATCTTCAACTCTTCACTTAACTCGATAATCAAAGACGTAAAAGTTACTCATCACTGGGTTTAGTTTTTGGGGAGACACAATCAGGTGTCTACAGAAGCCCCCACTTTGACTGAGTTTGGAGAAACGTATGTTTAAAAAAGTCAAAGTAGAACGATAGGGATGGAGAATGATTGAAAATGTTATGCGATCCTAAATCATTCTTTTTAACGCCGATACTTGCAAAAAGCGTTAATTCTACGAATAAAGGAGTTAGAAATGCGTATCTTGCACCGTCGGGTACACGTCTCGGCGTAACATCAATTTGCTGAATCAAATTGCTTTGCTTGGCAAACTCTACATCTTTGGGAACGCCATCGAAGATCGCGATGCTTTGCTATCTTCAAACTTAGGTGATAACCTCCACATCTTAGGGAATGTCGTCAAAGATCTTAGTGTTTAACCATCTTCAAATCAAAGTGACAACCTCCACATCTTAGGGAATGTTGTTTAAGATCGCAGTACGTTGCCATCTTCAAATCAAAGGGGGATAACCTCCGCATCTTAGGGAATGCTGTCAAAGACCACTGCTCCTGAGTTGTCTTCAAATTTTCTCGCCTTCACACTGGAAGTGGTATCTTCTTCATCTTTGGAAAGTCTACCGTAGAAACCTCATCTCTCAAGGTCTTACCGAGCTTCAAATTGATTTCCGTAGAAATCCATCTTAGGAATTCTTTGTGATTATGCTTAATCACTGCTCAATCAATGTACTCCACCAATACTTATGCGGACTCGGCCAATGCTTAGGAGTACTGAAATGTGCTCAACCAATGTTTAGGTGTGCTAAAGTGTGCCTAGCCAATGCTTAGGTGAATTCAAATGTGCTTAGACAATGCTTAGGCGTTCTCAAATGTGGTTAGCCAATGCTTAGGCATTCTCAATCAATACTCAAATGTATTCAGCCAATGCTTAGGTGTACTCAATCAATCAATAAGATGATCGTCATCAGGCCGATCCTCAATTAAAATTTTAATCAGGCCGATTACTAATCACATGTGTGATTTCAAAGGTGATCACTCAATGTGTAATCAAAATGTGATCGTCATCAGGCCTATCATCAATCAAGTTGTAATCGAGCTGACTACTAATCATTTATCGCTCATCACGATGCTCATCAAGAGGCTCAAATGCATAATCATTTTCTTTGGAAAGAATCGATTGCTCATTACAAGGCTTGAGTAGATAACTGTCGTCCAGCAAATCGATCTGCAGGAATTCAAAACCGACGTGCCATGTAAGGTTTCACCGTGTGGTGACAGTGTTGTCGTGCCGTGTTAGTGTGTATCGCACCGCGTTGTTTCTGTCGTGCTGCGCTGGAATCATGGTCAGACTTATTCTGCCCGTTCGACTTCGTTACTGGTGCTTGTGCCTTTTTGCTCAATCAAATCGCCTCAAATCTCTTGTAAAGGTTACTCGTCCATCAGGGACTTAGTGTACCTGCATCTATATTTTGGACTATAGGACTTTGCTCGTATGTATAGCTTTCTTGAGGTTGACCTAAGGCTTGGTGTACTCAG